AACGGATCATTGAATCATCCATTACAGAGCATTATTTGGTCTTGTTTTAGATAATAGAATTCTCTCTGGTAGTGTTTTGGATGACTACATAGCTTCATGGGTCCACAGTGGCTGTTCTAAGAATCAGAAATGTTGAAACCTCACTAACACATTAGCAAAATTGGGAAACTGTTAGACTCTCCTATCAGTTGTTTTGTTCACTTTGCTTTTGTTTGTTTTAACAAACCCCGGGATTAGGGGCCTTACTATTAAGAAATCTTTTGAAATCTCTATGTCAGGAATGTCTTGAATCTATACTATAAATTCTGGGAAATTAAAAAACAGTTTTTATGTAGGATATTTCCATAAAGACAGTAGGTTTTTTTCCCCTTCCCTTTGGATCCCCTTGACTATGGACAAAATTGTATTCAGATTCCCTGGAAAAACACTCAGAAAAGATTTGCTTTGAATTTCTTTATAAAATCACAGCTAGTATGTTAGTTGAAGTTTGTAGGTAATCTCAGAAAACCTAGTATGAATATATATTGCAGATCTGATTAGACCAATTTGCTCTCCTTTTAGGGAAAGAGATCAATGGGGGACAGTGGCTACACATGACAGACTTGAACTTTCGCACACCCCCAGGAAGACTAATTTGAGACAAACATGATTAGAGCAGGGACTCTTGGGCTTGGTTTCATGGACCAGTGTGTGATCAAATTTTGAGTTTGCAGAGGTCACCAAAACCCCAGAATCTACATGTGAAAGTTTGTTAGTTCTAAATTGTCACCTGTTAAGCACGTTCCCCAAGATGTCATCTTACGGCCAGAGTATGCTTTCTAGTTTAATTAAATGGAGCCATTTGGTGTCTGTTTCTGCCATTAGAACTTTCCAGCCCTTTACAGTTAGTTGCTTAACCTGAGCTAATGGACATGTAACCTGGAGTTCGTAGGACCTTTCCTGTAGTGGATGTATTTTCTTGACATTGTCCGCAAAATGTTATGTAATGTGGGTTTTTCTGTGTATGTGTTTATAGGAAGAGAGGGTTCATATTGCACTGAGATCTCAAATGCCCTATACCACCCAGAGATTAACAGAAGAAGCCAATGATTTGGAGACTACTTGCTGTTCCTTCCTGTGGAGTACAATTTATATCACCTTATCTTCAATTTCATACAGCTTTTGAAGGCCTCAGATTAAGCTGTTACATGTATTTTTATGTATAAATGTAATGAAGGGCTGAGGTTCAACTCTTTAAACTACTGTTTAGATTTCTAAGAGAAATTGTTGGATACCATTTGTGTCATTGCTCCATGTGACACTATTTTGTGCAGTCTGCCTCAGCTCTCATCTTAAGACCACAAACTCTGGACAATCTAACCATGCCAAAACCTCAGCACGATTCTTATGATTCTATTTATCATTTATTCCTGAGCTGTAACTGTTCCTGAAGAGGATTTTCTTTTCTTTTTTTTCAGCCTAGGAGAAGTTAGGCACCTTAGCCATTGAGGTAGTCGAGGTATGTTCTCACATTCTTGGGAGCTTTTATGCCTTCATTCTTTTCTTGTTTTTAGTTGTTTGTTGGTCTTCCCTTTGGCAAGGTATGTTTAAGTGGAGGAAGTACTGTATAGAGGAGGAAGATTGCTGAGGAATTAGGTGAAACTGTGCTCCTAGGACTCTTTGTCTCTGCTAAGTGATCTTTCTAAAACAGTATCACATATGTTCCTTTTAATTTCCCAATCTTGGTGTGAATTATTCTTTGCCAAATGGCTTTTGGGGCTTTGCCTGGGACCTCTGTGCCAGAGTCAAAAGATTCATCTTGGCCAGACATTGCCACATATTGAAGAGGGAACCGTTTCCAGGAAAGCTCAGAGAGCTGAAACTCCTAGAAATCTTTCCTTGGTTGTCTAAGCCAGGCCTTGACACTCTGGACCATCTGGGAAATTTTGGACCTGAGAACCAGTATCTGTTTCATACATCTTATTTCTTAAGTTTTTTTTTTAAGTTCATGTTCATTTGAGATCTGTACTTATTTTATATTATACCTTTTGAAAAAGACTTTTGTGTATCTAAGAGCTTTGAGAATTGTATACCTACTGGGCCAAGGATTTAGCTCAGTGGTTCTGCCTCCTGTCTCACAAGTGCAAGGTCCTGAGTTTGATCCATGGTACCAAAACAAAACAAGAATTCTATGCCTAAGGACTGAAAAGAAAATCACCTGAAAAAGATGCAGTACAGATACATATTGTAGATACACAGCTGCAGAAACACACTGCTGTTCTTTGTGCTATTGTGGTGCCCAATAAACAGGTTTGGAAAGGATCAGTAGGGAAATCTTTTGCTGGCACGAGCTGTGCTTGAGTCAGTGTTGTTCTGCAGTGATCAGGCGTTCTTGTGCAGTTGTGCCGCTCTTCTCTTCACTTTTGTGCTGTGTGCTCCTAGTAGTGTGCATCCCTTTTTTCAGTTAGCACTGTGGTTTCTACCTTTGCCTCTGCTCTGTTTCTGCTACCTCTCTCGTTTTCAGTGATTACCAGTCTGTTTCTGATTGCAAATAACATCTCCAGTGTGTCACAAGTCTCTATAGTCAAGGAACACATTGTTTTGCTGTAGCTGTATTTGACAGCGCAGTTCATTTGGTACTTTGATTTGACATCATGCTTATATCAAGTATAAAAATGACCCTAACTATGTGCACAAATAGCTCGTGACAGTTTTCAGAATTGTTTATGGTTTTGTATTTTTTCTGCAGATTAACTAGCTTAATTGCTTTGAGCATGTCTTTAGTCTTTTTGTTACATGGGTTTATGAATTTTCTGTGATATTTTTTATTTTCTGTGATACGGTAAGCACAGTATTGCTGGGCACGTTCCTCCTCCTCCTCCTCCTCTTCTTCTCTCTCTTTTTTTTTTTTTTTGGTTTCAGGGATCAAACTCAGGACCTTGTACTTGCAAGTCAGGCGGCCAAACCACTGAGCTAAATCCCCAGCAGCACAGTATTAAATGTAAGGCAGGAAAGTCCAACCTATAGCCCTGGACAGTGAGTAACACAGCTGCACAAGATCTTAAGCTTTTAACATTATTATGAGATTTGGGGTGATACTTTTCTGGACTCAGTTGTGTGGTGCTTGACCATGAACTTTCTAGGTGACGAGGAAATACCAAGTAGGGAAAGGCACAGTGCAGTGCTAACTCCACCTCCCATGCCTACCGCACACAGTTGAATCGAAACTTGCTTGTTTCAGATTCACATGTACTTGTGTGACTTGCTAAGTAAAAGGCACACTTACTGGTAATAATGGTTCAGTCTTCCTACACAAGTGTGTGCCTGTGAAGACACGTGTCGTTTTTAATCAGACATGTACATTTTCTTATTTAATTATAAAAATTTGGCTTGTGTTATTTTAATAATAATTTTTGCTCTGTAAAATATATGAAGCAATATGCTATTTATACTAAAATATAATGTATATGTAATATGCATTATAGTATAGTGCATTATTATATATTTTATATGTGGCCCAAAACAATTCCTCTTTGCTCATTGTGGCTCAGAAAAGCCAGAATGTGGTACACCTATGATGTAAGACATCTTTGCCTATGGTGTGTTTTGGAAGTTAAGATATGCTTATACTCAATAGTTAATAAACAAGATAGTATTATGTACTAAATACAAATTATTCATAGAATAAAGTACTTTTGTGATATTGAAAAGTATGGAATTAAAACATTTGATTGGCATTTAGGGAATGCTAACCATATTCTAAAGCATGGGTTTTGGGAGATTAGTGCCTTATTTATTAATGACATGAGAACATACTGTAATAAATGCTGTGGATCATAGGCAGTCCCTGAGGTACCTTGAGATTAAAGTGAGCCAGAAGTCATGGAGCCTGTAAAGCAGTCAGCATTTAGTATGTGTCCCTGATTGTCTACCTTCAGATCATAGAGCCAGACCATTTATTCCTCAGAAAGGTTATAACTGTGATATACCACTGTTCCCCATGTACTTCTTGGTCTGTATCTTTCTAGGTTAAGCTCCTTTTAGGGCATGGGTCTCTTACTGCTCTTATTACTTTATGGTGATGTTTGGTGCCTTCACCCATCTGCTTCAGTGTGTGGTTCTTGCAAGGTCTTGCCTCACCTCTCTGAATAGAAAGGTAGTGTGAGACACATTGAATGAAAGCATCTAGTCAGTATTTCTTTGCATTCCTCTTGCTTTCCTGGGTTCACATGGTCTGACCGTGGATCATATGTCCCAAGAGAACATTGTTGAGTCCATTTTCTCTGACCTCTTTTTGATGATATAATGATGATAATGGCAACCTACAGTAGTATTTGATCCTCTGTCCAAACTGAGCACAGTGTTCCTCTCCAGACTCATAGTTTTCTTCCTTTTTTTGATGGTGGCTCTATACAGTCAGTGTTTATTCTCTGTGTTCCTTGTGCTTCATTTTGGAAAATCCCTTCACTTTAGTAGCTGGGATGATGACAGCACTGGCAGCTCTCCCTGGCTGCCCCTTTCTCTTTGCTTTCAACACTGTTTTTTTTTTTTCATGGCAAATCTTAGCTTTATAGAGGCTGGAGCTTACCTGAGAGAGAAGAAAGTCATTTCTCTAAAGGTCCAGAAGGATAACACACCCTACGGGACTCTGTTTTTTAATTTTCATCTTAGTGATTTGACTTGAGAGATTAGGCAGTACTAGGGGAAGTTAACTTTTATTCTGCCTTGCCACTTTTGAATTTTAAAAATGTTTTGTTTAATCTGTATTCTACTTTGGGGAGCTGAGTCATGTTTTAGTTAGAATTAGTAGTGCTGAAACAATATGAAATAGCCATATTGTAATAAAAAATAAAAGACCCAGTATCAGCAATGTCATCCAGTTCAATCTGATATAGCTTATTTGCAGATTTATAGCTTGGTCCTCTTAGTGGTGAGTAGTGAAAAAAATCTCCAGATTCTGCTCTGCATGACTTGTGTGTCAAGTCAGTCCTAAAATGTCCCCTTGTTTTGTTGCTTCTTAGATCACACTGCACCTGAAGCCTATCTCCTCAGTCTACATTCACCATAAGCCTGTTGTGTTCCTGCTCAACTCCCCACAGCCCCTGGTCTGGCATTTGAAGACAGAGAGACTTGCCACCGGCATCCCCAGACTCTTCTTGGTAAGATTTTAGGAAAACTTTTCCAAACTCGTTGTTAGTAGAGGGTCATAATGACCCTAAAACTTTTTCAAAGACTTCTTTTCATTGAAATAATAACAGAGTTCAAAGAGTGTTACATTTGGAGTTGCACACTTGCTGATATTTGGATGACATGCGTAAGCATTCACAGGAAGCAAGCAGGACCCACATCTTCTGTGGACACAGCAGGCCCTGCAGTCATATGTATGGCCTGAGCTTTGGTCTTTAGCTCTGAGACCTTCCTTGTGGTATCAGGAACATTATAAATACTGTAAATAGCACTGGGTGTGTGGTCTGTGACAAAATAAATATGCATGAACCCATTCTATTTGTATATAACACATGCCTAATTTCTGATAGGAGGAGCTGTTTGTTGAGAATGTGACACAGTGAGCTCCAAAATGAAATCATTTGTATTTTATTAAAAAAGCTGGAACCCAGCTGTCATGGAAAGATCCAAATATTACCTACTATTTGTAAATCATGTCCTATTGAATTTGCCAGAACATTTCAATTTTGCTAGTTGTGGAGAAATAGATGTGTTGTTTGGATAGAATTTTTGGGATATGATATCATGTCTGATGATGAGCAACACTGCAACTTGGTAGTAATAACTCATATTGTCTGTTGCGTGAGTCCTAACTGCAGAGCCTTTGGCTGTTAAATCTCTCTTGCTTAGAAGCATCTAAAAGGAGTGGTGTCCTCAGTTAATAGCTTCCCTCTTGTCTAAGGAATAGTAAACTTTGCCTAAGTAATGGCTTTAATACATAGTCATTGCCTACAATGAAGAATAGTTTTGAAAACTCAGAGGAACCCTTTGAGTAAAGTAAGAATCATAGCAAACCATTAATAAGTAGATATACGAATGAGGGAAGAAGGAGAAGCTCCTTTTTAGAGTAGAATTCTAATCATTAAATATGGAGGAATGATGGAGGTAGAAGATCATCATTTTGGGGCCATCATAATAAAGGTTGATCAGACCAGAATCATTGAAAGATGCTAAATCTAATGGAACTGGAGGGAGTTGGAGGAATAATATATTTGGATATCCCCAAATATCTTTTCCAAAAACTATTCATTATGGAAGAAAATAACTGTGTACATTGGTGATGTCCAGTGATTCTTAAACCAAGTGTTCAAAATTAATGTCACCAGTATGGGGTGAATGGACATTGTGTACTGGTGAGAAGGAACACAACCAGTTACATAGTAGCCTTGCTATAAATGGCATGTGACATGAATCTCATGATGAAGAACGGGGTACAGCCAAACTGAGTGACATTCTATAAAATAACTGGCCTGTCCTCTCTAAAAAATCACTTATGAAAGGCTAAAGATTGAAGACTAAAGATTAAACAAGACTAAAAAGACACATGTGGTCATAAACTGAGTAGGAGTGGAGAAGTTGCCATGAAGAACATTATGTGCACAGTGGATGAAATTAGGATTGAGTCTGTGGATTAAAGTGTTGTATCAGTGTTTGCATTTGATAATTATACTTTTATTATATTAAGAGAAATCCTTTTTAGGAAACATATTTCATGCGCTTAGGTGTTAAAGGGCGAAGGGCCCAATAATTTGGAAGAAAAAGTAGAGAATAATAAAGCAAATACAACAAGATGTTAAAAACTAAAGAATCTAGGTAAAGAGGATACTGGAGTCCTTTGTACTAACAACTTTGCTATAAATTTTAATTAATTTCAAAATAAAACATTTACAAACAGGTACATTTATAAGGTAGGAGTTACTAAGATCTTATAGCTTTTTCTGAAGAATGAAATTATTATACATTAAAAAATCAAAAGAGTATTAATTTAGTTGTTGTTGTTATTATTAGCACATTTATTTAGTACGTAGTACATTTGAGCAATTGTCCTAGGAGCTCTAATACTTTATCCCTTTGAATTCACATGATAACCCTGTGACAAAGGTACATTTATTCCTTAATAGTTGAGGAACTAAGACTTAGATGTTAAGTCGTGAGCCACATCACATGGCTAATTCCTAGTAGATCTCAAAATCAAATAGGACCTGTCCTAGAGGCTCTCATGCCAAACGGGTTCTTTGCATACTTAATCATTGTCAATTTCCTGTAGTTTGTGATATTAAGATTTAGGGATATGATCATAAGTGCATTTAGTTCTCATACCATAGGGCTGAACTGTTACTAGTGTAGGAATTAGCTACACATGACTATTGAAATTAAATTTTAAAAATCCAGGATAGCTGTACTGGTGCATGCTTGTAATCCCTGAACTCTTGGGAGGCGGAGACAGGAAGATTTTGGGAAGATTTTGGCACTTTTGAGCCCAAGCTGGGCAATTTAGTGACTCAGTGAAACCTCATCTCAAATTAAAAACAAAAAGAGTGCTGGGGATATAGCTCAGTGTAAAGCCTCTGGGTTTAATCTCCAGTAATGCAAAACACAACAAACAAAGAAACAGAAAAACAACTCCTATTGCTTAGCCTTTTTTCAGGTGTTCAGTAGGTGCATGAGGCTACCACAATGGGCAGATTATAGAGAGGCGGTGGGCATTACACATACTGGTTTGAATCCATGCAATGATTGGGCAAATTAATCTCTCTAAACCTGATTTTCTTCAGCTATAGTTTGGGAATAATAATTGCTTCTCTACCATAGGGGTGTTGTCTTGATTAAATGAGATTACACAGAAAATGTTTAAGGCAGTACCTGCCTCTGATAAGTTGAGACATTGTGTGCCATTACTGTTATTTGTCGTAATAAAGAGCACATGCGGATGTTGAATTTACGCCTGTAATTATAAAACACCAGCTCCAGTGGCCCCAGACTGAAAGAAGTTCCTATTTCTCTGGGTTGTAGGTGCAAATAAACAATGTGGACCGCATGTAGTTGTATTTACCCCTTTCTGGATTCCTTCTTCAGTCCACCACTCCACTCCGTGGGTTTTAAGGGAAAGTATCTTATTCCTCATCATTATTTATTTGCTTTAATTTTGTTTAAGATCTGGAAAAACTGTTTGGCCACCAGTTTAAGACACTAACAAAGAGGGAGACAGTTTTAGTAAACAATCTAACATTGACCCTATTTGGAGTTAATCCCATGTAAGGATATTGCAGATGAAGTGATGAATCTAAAATTAACGACATGGGGGAGACAGCAGTGGGGGAAGACAAGGATTTAAATTCCAGGACACCTGAACTCGGCTTTGCTCTCCAGCAGGCTTCCTTTCGGGAAATGTTTTTCTGCCATCTGCACATTTCTTCACGCGCTGGAAGAGATGGCAGAATCTTTCAGGTTCTCAGATCAGGAGACAATGAGAAATACAAGTTTTCTCACAAGCTAGGCAGCTCTCTCTAGACAACCTCTGCCTTTCCTCTTGTGGCCTGAAAGGATTTCAGTGACTCCTCATCCACTTGAAAGCGTTTGGAGCAGAGGGACAGTGATGGATAGAAAGCTAGTAGTGTTTGTCCTACAGGACAGAAAACCAACATGTCCTGTGTATCTATTGGTTGTATTTAAGAGTTAACGTTTGGGGATAAGATCACTAAATTATTTTACAGTAAGTGTTTCTTCAAGCACTTCAAGTGGCCCGTGAAATTTTTGGGAGCTGAGGCTTAGTTATTTCCATCCCTCCCCTTTCCACTGTTACCCAAGAGCTTAGAGTTGCTGAGGAGAGAAGATGAGGCTCATGCTGCTCAGTGGAAGATGCCTGTATCCTGCTTCCTCCCTGGTATACTGCAGAAGGGTTCACACTGCTGCCTCAAAGTTGTCTTTACTCTGGGGCTGGGGATTTAGCTCAGCTGTTCTGTGGCCTGCCTTGCAAGCACAAGGACCCGAGTTCAATCCCCGGTACCAAAAAACAAAACAACAAAAAAACCAAAGTTGTCTTTACCCTTTGGGTAGAACCACTTTGTTTCTTTATTTGTAAAATTAATTTTATTGGTACATGTTAGATGATACTCATAATGATAACAAACCACAATACTTTTAACACTTTTTTAAAAAAGTAAGCTGATGAGAAAAGTTCAAGTAATAGTATCTGCTCAGGTGTCAGGATGACCTTTTAATTTCTGTTAGCATGTGTGCATTGTTATAACTGCCTGAATTTTTAAAAAGGCAAACTTTTGTAATTTGTTAGGGGAGCTTTAATAATATAACTAATTTTAATAATATAAAATATTATACTTTAGGGCCAGGGATTTGGCTCAGTGGTGCCGCTGCCTGCCTTGCAAGCACAAGGGACTGAGTTCAATCCCTGGTACCCCAATAATAATGTAGGCATCTGTCTTTTTCTGTCAAATCACTTTAGTCTTCTCATGATTCTTCAGCACAGGGAAGAGAAGGAAATGTGTCAGGCAAGGAGAAGGTAGAATCTAGTCTTCTGCAAGTGCATTTGTTTTGGCTGATTGTTTTGATTACCTAGGAGAAGGGAGTAGGTTGAAGAGACTTTCTGGCTGAGTTTCAAGTAATGCATCTTTGTGAATCACACACATGCACATACACGATGAAGGTGTCACAGCCTTACAGTTTTCGCTTTTGCAGGGTATGTGAATGGTTCAGAGAGCACTGAATAGGTTAGAGGTGTCCCTCAATTCAATCAGAGCAAAAATAATTCCAAGGGTCCTGTTGAAACTACAAATAAAAATTTCTTACAAGGTCATAATAGGCTTATTTTTATTTTTGCGACCATTTCCACCTTGGAGAAAATGTAGAGTGACTCAATTGTGTAATTAATGTCTGAACTTTCAACCTGAAAGTTTTGTTTTTACAAAAAAGAATTGAGAAGATCCACGGTATTAAATTGTCTTCTAAAAACATGCTGTAGTTTCTCTAAAGAAATGACACAAATAGCTGAAAGCACATGAGAAGATGCTTAGTGTCATTAATTAGCAGGGAAACACTAATCCAAGCCGCAGTGTACCATTTCATACCTACTAGGATGGCTTTAATAAGAAAGACAGTAACAAGTGTTGTCAAAAATGTAGAGAAATTGGAAGAC